AACATGCAAACAAACAATAGACACAAAAACCAAATAAATACTTTCCAAGGGGACTGGTACCTCCCACCCTTCCCCATAGCAGAGGCACCACCACCTGACCATCACAACCAGCTCCTTACTACCGCTGGGACACTGACCCTGCAATGGTCCCAGTGACCAAATTCTCCCCCATCATCACCAAACCTCCTCTGTTAGATGTGCAAAAATCACCTGCCTTTGCCTCTCTGGATCCTGCTGCCCTCAGAGCTGAGCTGCCAAGTCTGTTAATCATTCCAAAGCTCCAAGAACACATTTATTTATTTACTCAAGTGGACAATATTATGTTAAGTGCTTTATGGCTTTCTTGAAAGGCTCAATTTATTTATAAACTATTGACAGAGTCAATAAGTTTATAATGGGCCCCATGTAAAAATCAATTTCTCTGGAAGCAAAAAAAAAAAAAAAAAAAGTCGTCACAGCAACAGATTGTGGCCTTTTGAGGAGGTAAGTGGATGTGGTAGATCTACTCAAGGCAATGTTACTTGGCCATTTATGTAGTAAAAGGGAAACTGTGAGCTAAGGGACAATTTAGGAGAACTATCCATACATATATATATATATATATATATAAAATTTGATTGCTCTTACAAAGTTGACACATCACAAAAGCATCAGTGTGCCATGTGAGGATGGGTCTTTAACCTCCTCATGCAAGGAGAGCTATTAAGTTTTGGAGGCTGTTCTTCAAACGAGGGCACTTTAGGAAAATACATCCTTAGTGGGAAGCAATTGCTTACAACTTCTCTGCAGGGAGCCCGAGGTTTGGAGAGCAGCAAAGCCTCGGGGAGGAAAAGAGGTCAAGTGCTGATGTTGGGACCTGAAAAAAAACCAACACAGCTCTTGGAAAACGAGGGGTAGGAAGCCTGAAAGACAAACAGGCAGACAAGACAGCATGAGGGCAGAGGGAAAGAGAGAGCTTTGCTCTCACATCAGAGGGCCTGGGGTGCACCTGAGAGAATGATTTACTGAACAACTGGAAATCAAGCACGGGGGTGGACTCTGAACAGCACAAAAAGACTCAGACAAGGTGAGGCAGCACAGGCAGAGAAACCCAGGGAGGTGCAGTTATTGCTTTGTCTAAATGCTCCTCTCCTCATGCTAAACCAGGGTGAGGAGAAATTGCTCTGGCAGCCTTGCAAAAAAACCTGATTTGTTTGCCCTGCTACCACATGCCACTGAAAACATGGCTCATAAATCCAGGGCGTGATAGGGGCTCTACAGAATCGTTTGTATCAGCTGCTGGGGATCAGGAAGGCTGGCTGGGCTGCAAGGGAAGATTTGTCAAAGAGCAACAAGAGGAGTCTGCCTTCCTCACCTGGGCAAGGCAGAGTGAGGGTGCCCAGACCTGGGGCAGAACCAGATGCACAAAAAAAAGGTTATTTCACAAAAAAAAAAAAAAAAAAAATAAAGGTGGTTTCACAAAGCAGGACTAAAAAAACCTAAGCTCCACAGCCCTGGTCACACACTGATCTGTAGTTCAGTGCCCCCTCTGCTTTACTTGGCATCACCCCCTCCTTCCAAGGGATGTCACTGTGATGACAAACTGCCACTGAAACGTGTGACATTGTCTGGGGCATTTGGACATTCCTTTCCCCTCCAGCTCCAACGAGGCACCCAGAGCAACAATTCAGCTTTGAAACCCTCGTCTTATATGAAGACCTCTTTATAAATCACTAAACAAAGAAGAAACAACAGGAAACAAACAAACAAACGAACAAAAAATAACCAAACCCCAAACTGATTTATCTGGTCTGTGGGAATTGAACACAGCAGCTGTTTTATCAGCAACAGCACCTGCACACCATCTTGTCAGGGAACAAACTGCATCCAGTGAATAGCCTGCCTGACTTAAGGCACTAATAAAACTCCTCTATACCTTCCTTCTTACAGTAATAATTTTAATTGTTTCAATTATTTTCATCTAATCTCCTTGATAAATGTTTTGAAATATAAACCCAGCCTGAGGTCCATATGTTATTAAAAAAAAAATAAATGCAAACAGAGAGTGGGGGAAAAAAAAAAAAGAAAAAAAAAGACAAACCCAACAAGCTGCACAGAATTAACAAGCTGAAAGAATTAATTGTAGCATGGGATTTTGGAGGCATCAAACACCCCTCCTACTCTGTGCTGCTGATTTCAGGGATTTCCAGTGCTGGAAGGAACATTTTCTTCAGTGCACAGCAGGCCATTTGCAATGGTCTATTTAGGCACTGGTATTATTATTATTATTATTATTATTATTATTATTATTATTATTAAGCACACCATTACCCCCTTACATGGCCATAAGCTCTGTGGATATCCAGCCAACCTGAGCCCTGCCAGGGAGCAGGGAAGGGACAATGAGTTGTTCTGAGCCCAACTCAGCACCTCCTCAGTAAATTTCCTCCCAAAAGGGCAATTCCCAGAGCAAGAGAGTTCCTAACTTTGTGGAGACACCAAGAAAACACTTGGATCAGATGGATATTTTCTGCCAGGGGGTGGAGGACAGGAGGGGGCTCAGCTGCCACAGGGACCCCGTGTACAGATGATGGAAGTGGGGAAGCAAAATGCACCAGACCTGCTCTGCTTCCCTGAGTATCATTAGCAACTCCTGGAAAATTTGTGGAGCTTCTGCTGCTGACAGAAAGGGTCCCCTGAGCTGGCTGAAGGAGCCTGATAATGAATTTGCACGCAGTAAATTAGCCCGTGGATATTTTTCCACCGGGCTGCTCGCCTCGGCTCCCATGGAAATGCGTTGGGGGCCCAGGACTCCCTCCCCCTTTGCTCCTGCCATCTCCTGCCAAAAGGCTGGGAGAGCATTGCTGCCACTATCTGCAGCCATCAGGCTGGAGCAGAGGGGCCATCATCCCGAAATCTCTCCCCTGTGCCCCAGCACAGTGGGAGCCACAACAACTTCCCTCCATCTGAAGCTCCACAGAGAGCAGAGCTGAGACACCGCGAGCTGTCGGCTGGGATGTGCTTATTAAATAAAATTAATGCTAAAAGACAGAAACAGAATTCCCCTCTACTGCTGCAGGGCAGGTGTTTAATTCAGCATTTTATCCTATTTTCTCCTCTTTTTTTTTTTTTTTTTCTTTTTGCCTGAAATATTTTTTTTTACATCTCCAAGCAGCTCCAGTGCTACACAGACTGTCTATTCCCCTTCTGATGGTTCTCCCCCTCATTTGAAGCCATCTTTTTGTTGCTCCCCTTGACAGCAGTTCACTGTGATTTTATCTTTTCTATTAGGCAGTGATTGCAAAACCTCAGAGGGTTCATTAGGAGCTTGATAATCCCTCCAGATTTATGAGTCTAAATTGCTCACTCCCATCTCCAATCCCCATTTAAATATTACTAATTTCCTTAAGCATCTCTTCCATCTGCCCAGGTTTTGTCTGATGTCACCTTTATGCAACAGTCCCTGCCAAAACTCCAGTTAGTTCTGCTAAGGGCTAGTATTTTGGACAAAGTGGTAAAATAACCTGGGTAAACACACGAGTATCTTGTGAGAGTGAATGGCAACAGAACTCATTCCTTTCTCACCTGCCAGAGCTGAGTTACACGAGATGAATGGGTTTCAAAGACAAATTTCACCTCAAGCAAATGCTTAATCACACCCCTGCTCACAACTAGTGTGGGGGTGGAGGTGGGGAGCTTAATTTTAATAGTTCTTTCTGTTGTCTGTGAACAGGCTCCGCCGCGCTGGTGATGTGCAGACAGAAACCCCTCACTGTGTGCACAGTCCGTGCCTCGGGGAGCAGAAAGCACAGCTCCCAATCTCCATCACTGCCTGACCCCCTCAGGTACACCCCTTCCTTTTCCATTCCTGCCCAGGGCTGAGCCATCCCGTGGGGATGAACGGGATCAGTGAAGCTTTTTCTTGCTGGGCTGACGTGGAGCAAGGACCGCTGAGCAGGAATCAGAATCCTCCCAGTTCGGGCAGGAACCTGGTGGCTTTTTCTATATTCTCCCTATCCCCTCTTCCATTCTCTGCCCCAGTTGCTGCTCTCTTGGCTTTCCAACCCCTCCACTTCACTCCTTTCCCCCCTCCTCCTCTCCACTCCGGCTCTCCTGCCCACCCGTTTGGCTCCATCCCTTCCCGTCTGTCTCCCACCCAAACACAAAGCGTGATTCAGCTCTCGGCTTTCCTGGCACAGGCACACCCTGGCATAAATATTAATAGAAATTAGAGAATATGAGTATCATATGGGGCTGGGAGGCACCTCCACTCGACCCTCCAGCCCATCTCAGGTTGCCATCAGCCCCACACCAGCACTAATAGGCAGGTATTTGGCCTCCTGGTAGCACTTCCCTCACACCACGTGGCAACTGCTGCAGCAGGAGAAGTTCCTCTGCTGTTTATTTTGGGTTTCCCCCTGCTGCTGCCTAAGCCCATTACTCCTTGTTTAGCACAGTGCTCTGGGGTTTAACCACACCATCCCCCCCGTTAATGTTATTAGGAGCTATAAAACCAAACCACCAGGGGCCCAGGCTGGAGATACACCCTGCCCTGCCTCCTGACTTTTATGGGCTCAGCATTCCTTTGTCCTACAGAGCAGCTCTCAGGGACTCAGCAGGGAAGCACCGTGAGTGCTGTGATGCCCTCTGGATACCCACCCCAGTGCAGCCTGGACTTCTGCCAGCATGGGGAATGCAGTCAGGGAGGGGTGACACTTCTGAATCAGGAACAACCCATCTGCTGGAGCTCCCCAGAGACCTGCACATCTCGCTGCACCACAGTCACAGAGTCTGCAAATCCCGCCTTGGGATGCTGCACCGCATCAATCAGCTCTCACCTCCCAGGGACCAGGGCAAGCCTCCCCCTGACTGATGCTCAGCTTTGCAGGGGGACTGCCCTCCTTGCCTGCCCTTCCCTCTGCATGCCAAGCACGTGGCTCCTCCCGTGGGGTCAGGGGGATCAGCTCCCACTGACGTGACTCCGCACGCACGCCGGGGAGAAGCTGCGAGCAACGTCTTACCAGATTAGTGAAGATATAGGTGTAATAGGCAGACGCCATTCCCAGCTCAGCTGCCTGTGAAGGAGAGGAAAGGAGATTAAACCAGAGCCTGACAATCTTCAATCTCCACTCCAGCAAGGCCCAGCCTGGGCCACGTTTGCTTTTCCATCCTTATCGCGCCGTGCGGGCGCCGCTGCCTTCCCGCAGCAACACGACCTGGCCTGGGGAATTAAAGGCTGGGGAAGCAATCTTGGCAGCAGGGCTGAGCCTACCTGAGGCTCCAGGCTTGTCTCTTCCCCCACAGATGCAGAGAACAAGGCAGGAAAAGCTCTTTGGGGTTGCAGGAAGAGGACAGTCGAGCCACTGGGGGTTTTCCCATTTTGGGCTCCAGCCCCACAAAATTGTGAGTGCAAATGAAACTCAATAACTTAGCCTGTTCTCCAGAATTTAGAAAAGGTTGTGATGGCCACAGAAATAGAAGAAAAGAGGGTAAAAAGATATAAGGATGCAGAGAGGACACAGATGTTTCCATGGGGATGATCTCTTCTAGAGATCACAGACCAGATCACTCAAGGCCTTTTCCAAAATCCTCACTAAACAAGTGAGTTAGTTGTGGGAACAGATGCTCAGGAAAGTGAGGCATTAATCTGCAGATCCTCCTGGAAGCCTGTGTTTCACTGCCAAGCACAGCTGGTCCCAAATCATGCTTCAGGACCTTGGCAAAGAGGTTTTCCCATCACTCCAAACCAGACAAAGGAGCAGGAAACAAGGAGGGAAGGGCCAAAGGCAGCACCTCCTGATTTCACTCCCTTTCAAAACCCCCTAGAAGCTGAAGGATGGTGACCAGAGAAAGCAAAAGATACCAAGAAGGGATGGCTTAGATTGCACCTCTCCCTATTCCTGCCTGTCCTTTACCCCCTTCCTGTGCAAACCTGAGGCCACCACCACTGCTGGTGGCTCAGGTCTGGCTGTGCCCAGCCCTTTGGCTGCACAGTGTCACCCCTGTCCCTGGCACAGGTGGCAAAACAAGCACAGCGAAGTCACTGTGATGAAAAGAGCACCCTGGCTCTGGAGGAGGCTCCTGACAGCTGCCTTGTTTTTAAACCCTCCCCACACTAAAAACTGGCATCAGTTTCCCTCCCTCTCCCCTCGCTGGGGGCCAGTGCTGATGTCAGCTCTCCCTCTGACCCGCTTTGAAGCCATTGTGTCTGATCTGAAGGGCAGAAAATCAAAGGGAGCAGCAAAGCAGCTCCCGGGAGCGTCGCTCCCATCCCGCCGGCAGGCGGGAGCTGGGACAGGCTGGGAACCCAGGGAGCAGCCACGTGTCCCCAGCCCATCTGTGGAGGGCAAGAGATGAGAAACTGTAATTTCTCTCGCTGTTGTGGCAGGCCAGGACTGGTCTCCTCAGACAGAGCTGACATTTTCAAACAAACATAGCATTTTTCTTGCTGTTGGAGACCTGTGAGGGGGACGAGGCTGTACCTGCTCGATCACCACCCACCTCGCTCCGTATCTGCTTCCAACTCTGTAAGAAAAAGACTTTCCCAGCCTCCCAAGGTGCAAGAAGTTGACAGATCACAAGCTCATTATTTGTTACCTTCCATTCCAACAGTCCTCTGGCTGGGAAGGCTGAATTAGTTTTTACAGAAAAAAAAAAAAAAATCGTGGGAATCACTGACATCTTTATCAGTGGTGGCAGAAGGAGCTGGGCAGGGAGACTGTGTGTGCCTGGAGGGAGCTGCTGTGTGCCTGTGGGAAGTCACTATAGCAACAGAGGAGGGGGACAGCCCTCAGCAGCCAGGCAGCAACAGGGACCTGGGGGGGGAGACAAAGGGAAAAAAAAATCATGCCAAAAAAAAAAAATCCCTGCGCAGAAAGACCCAAAAAATTTCCCCAAACTGTCTATTAAAAATGAAAAACGACACGCAGTGGAATAAAAAAATCTTTGGGGAGGTGGGGAATAATAAAAACATCCCTTCTGGCTGTCAGCAAGGATAAATCTGACACAGTCAAGGCCCCTGGATGACTAACTCCGTGACAAAGCAGCCAGGACACTGCGTGGAGCGGCTGCACCAACAGCCAAGGGGATCCCACGGCTTGGATCCTGCCTCCACTCAGGAACATGCTTCTTGTACCTCCCAGGATGCGGGAAATTCTCCCCAACTTCAGACTCCATCTGGAGCCACTGCTCAGTTTTGAGGCAGGCTATCAAAACAAGCTCTAAAAACCACACAGCGAGAGACCATTTAAAAATAAACACGGTTAAAAATAAAATCGCGGTTAATAAGACAATTAAAAAAAAAAGGCAGCAAAAAGTTAGAAACGTAATGGGAGGGGGAAAAAATGAGACACCAGAGCACTGATGGACTAATTTCAGAGGGCTGAGCTGTTTGATGGCAACAGGAGCCACCAGCACACGCCACTTGGAGAGAGCAAACACATCGGCTCAGAGCAATTAAAGCACCACTTCCACAGATAAAGAGTCCTGGAAAGAGAGAGCAAATTACTGTCCCCATAAACTCCATCACAGTGGCAATTCCCCTCTCAGCAGAGCCCATTTCCAGGGATTTTCCCATTCCATTACTGTGCAACACAACACGTGGGACCTGGCTCGGGGTGGGGGGGAGCAGCAGCACCCAGAGCTGGGACAGGGAAGGGACACTCACCTTCTGCAGGATGGTGTGGGACATGGAAGCGTTGGCATGGACAATGATTGTGGCTGTCTTGTCATCCCTGATCTCCTTCAGGAGAGGGGTGGGATCCCGGCTGTCATCCAGCATCCGCACCGAGAGGGTGTCCTTGGAAATGAGGAACTGCCGGAGCAACTTCTCCAGGTTCAAAAGGCCTTCAGATGAAAGGGAGAAAAGCCTTTAAACGTTGTGCTTGGCTCAGAGAGCTCTTCTCCCATGGCCCACAGCCATTCCCAGCAGGATGCAGTCCTGCAGTTCTGGGTCTGTGCAAAGGCAAGGATTTGGGACTCGCTGAAATAGTGGCCCCAAAGTCCTCTTGAGAACAAATAAGAAGATTGTTGACGCAAATTTTCTCAGGACCCCAGAGCACCTCTTCATTATCTCCCTGTACGTGGGATTGTTCTGGTTATTGGAAGATTATTCCTCCTCCTCCTCAACCATTTCCAGCTCCCAGACAGAGCACCCTGCAAGGCACAGCTGGATACACCTGGGAGAGGTTGGAGCACTCTGCTGGGAAGCTGCTGTCTCCCAAGGGGATGGAAAGCTGGATGAGATCAGCCATGGGAAGGGGGCACAGAAAAGGACCACCTGGCCTGCAGGACTGGGCTCTCTTTTCAGGTGGAAGCTGGAGACACAAAGCATTAGTGAACACCCCCCTGGATGAGTCCTGACTTCCCTGGGCTTGTTCTCTACCGCCTTTTGGGCACTTCTGACTGAATTTTCCCCCTGCAGCCGGGTCACTGCAAGGGTTCCTTCCAATCCAGCTGCCTTCAAGTCTAATAAGATGTCAAAGCTCCTGCTGCAGCTTTTCTTACTCAAGACAGCATATTTGATAGAGCTTGTCTCTTCCACCCAGCTGCTGAGTTTCATCAAGAAATAACCTCCTGTCAAGTTTGATTGACCAGAGGGACCACCAGATGCAATCACAGACAGCAGGCACAGCCACACATCCCAGCCCTACAGAAATCCATAAAGGAGGAGAGGGAACTGAAGTGAAGGAAGCTGAGAAAGAACAGGGCTATCAGCAGCATCACATCCCAGCTGGCAGAGAGAGCAAACCCATCCTCAAGACAGGGCTCTGCTCTTAACCTCCCTTCCTTCTGAGTGCACAAACCCACCCGTTCACCAGCAGGTCAAGGGCCAGGGAAGTGGCACAGGAGGATGTGATCAGTGGTAGAGCTCTGCTTCCAAGGACTCCCAGCGCTTCACAAAGGCAACAAAGCAGTGAAGCAAAAGGCACACATCCAAGATGAGGAGACTCATTCACAGGGAGGCTTTCTCAGCACGCTGAGTTTGCTCTGAGCTCCTCACAATGCTTTTCTCTGGGTGCAGGTAGGAACCCAGCAAAGGACTAAAAGATCAGCCAGGAACTTCTCTGGGTCACACCAGCTTCTTTTTCTCTCTCACTGGCCAGCAAACTCACTCTGCATGAAGGGCACGTGGAGCAGACCTCACCTGAATCCTTTTTGTGTGTGTGTGCTGGCCCACACGAACAGCAAATTTTACTTTAGCCCTCCTTCAATTCTATCCACCAAACTGAGTCACACCATCTCATTCTATTCACCGTGGCACTACACATGGGCTGGCCTAAATTCGTTGACTTTGAGGGTCATTTTCTCCTTCTGCCAAGGCAAACTGCACACTCAGTGCCCAGAAGAAGGATGTGACATCCCAAGGATGTGACTCCCTGCAGTGACAGCACGAGCGTGACAGGGGAGGACCCAGGAGCCCCATCACACACGGCCTTGCACTTAAAACCAAAACAGCTACAACTTCTCCCTCCTGGGACCCAAACAAAAATCATCCCTCAAAACAGCATTTCCTCACTGATGAGCACACACAGCTCATAGGCTCCCCTTAGCTGCCCCAAGGGAACCTCCCAAAAGCCTGAAATGCCTCGGGTTAGTTGTTTAAGGACTGTGCTCAGGAGCAGTGCATGTCCTAAGGGAAAATGAGGGTTTGTGCTCCTACATGAAGTTTGATTATGTGCTTCAAGCCCAGCTCCCATCAGGCCCTTCCTGAGCACAAAAGAGCAGGAGCCACAAAAGGCACCCATCCCACTGCTTCCCGGGCCTGGGAAGGATTCAGGTTCTGCAGCACATCCTGAATATTGAGTTATCCAGTAGTAAAACAAATTGGATTGCTTCAAGTAAAAGGGTGTTATTGGTTTTGATCCAGTTAAATGAAGAATCCTGTTAATCATATTAATACCAACAGGAGGCACCTGCATGTTTTGGCACAGAGCTGGGGAGGAGGGCAGGGGTGGATGTGTGCTCTGTGCCTGGCAGCAGTGTGGGGGGACAGGGCTCTGAGCCTCCTGCACGGCAGGTGAGAAAACCTAATTATCTTTCCTTTCCCCTTCTGCTTAAGGTTAAGGTAGACAATGAAAAATTCCAGCCCTGGAAGTAATGCAGGAGAGCATTTGCATGATTTTAATTGCATCATTTTGAGTCAGGTCCCTTCCCAGGGTAAATCTGAGCACGTTTACAGAAGGTAATTTACTGACTTTACATCAGCTCAGTATCTGCTCTCCTCAGGGCACGTGAGGCAGAAAGGAAAGGCAGAGACACTCCTGTTGCTCCTGTCCCTGTGCAGGAGTTACCACAGCAATGCATTACTGGCACAGCTGGTGGTGTGAAGTTTGCCTAGGGCTGGCTGGGAATGGTGCTGCCTTTCCCTCACACCTTGGCCCAGTCAGAGAACAGGATCCCCAGAGCTCTCCCCGGTGCCTTTCCAAAGCCCCCCTTCCAGGCTGGTTTGTGTGCTAAACTCCAGTGCTGATGAACAGGGTAATCAAAGCAGAACTGCAGGGGCTGCTACACAGCATCTCCATCCTGCCCAGTGACCTCCAACAGCACAGGACCCACTCGAGGAGCTCTGCAGAGGTGACCACAGTCCTGCTGAGGTGACAGCTCCAGCATCCAGATGCACCACGAGCAGCAGATTTAGGGCTGCAGAGCCCAAGAGAGTGTGCAGTGTATTGTCTATTAATCAAACCCCGCTTTTAGGCCACGAGCTGCACGTGGGTTTGGGAAAGACATATTTCAAAAAGCTTCACTTGCCTAAAATAATCTCCAGAAACAAGCCTAAGCCTTTTTTTCAAAAAAATTTCAAAACCCCATCTGTGGAAGCAAAACACTCTTCAGATTGTCAAACAGAAGGCAGGCGAGTCTCTTCCCATCCCCTTTCCTCCTCTCACAAACATCTCCCTGGGGGCAACAGTGTGGAGAACCTGCCCTGGAGGGGGGAAAAGGATGTGCCTGCATGAGAGGTGGAGATCTGGGATGCAACAGGGAGGTCCCACACGCTGCTGGTGGGACCTTCTCCAGCGAGCACCAAACACGGAGGGGGAGGTGGAACAGGGGGGGCAGCCCAAGCCAGGCTGGCAAAGGACTCACATTCAGCTTTGGCACAGATGAGGCAGGCAGTGGTGCAGTTAAAGAAGTTCAGGATCCCCGCCACGGCCACGCTGATGTCGGTGTTGCTGGGGTGGAGGTTGAGGGTGGTGAAGCGCTGGAGCTGCAGCTTCAGGAACTCCTCGGGTGCCACTTTGAAGTGAGGAACCTGAGCGGGGAGGGGAGAGGAAAGAAAACATAATTAAAGAGGGAAGAGAAATACAAACAAGTAAATCTGCGGTAAAGGGCCTTTGGTGTGAAATGCACAGCAGGCAGGGAGTGAAACATCCCAATAAAACTGAATAAGCATCGCTGGAGTCAAAGAGAGGAGGGTGGGATTCGTGCAGCAGCAGAGGAAAATAATTATCACAGCAACGAGGAGCCACGGGAAGAAGTGGATGAGGAAAAGTCTTGCTGAGCCACTCAGAGAAAGGCAACAGGGTCTGTGATTACAGCCCAGGAAACCTTCCGGATGAGTTCAGCCTAATTAGCTGGGGCACTAATTGTAGCCAGGCCCACAGCTCGTGGCGTGGGCTGGCTGGGTAAACAGGGAGGAGGCTCTGCAGGGACACACCGGGATGCAGGCACTGGGAGCCCCCAGCCCTTTGCTGGGTGCTGCAGATCCACCTCTGCCCGCTGAAGTGATGTGTCATCAGGCAATTAGAGGAGATGAAGGGCAGAACAGGATGACCCCGTGCTGGCAGGGCTCGGGAGAGGGGGCAACAGATGCAGCAGCCAGAAGGTTTGGGCATTTTTGATCAGCAGAGAGGCCACACCACGGGCAAGCTCCAAGGGACTGGAACCAGCAGCCCAGATAATGCTGCATTTGTCATTAACACAGCAGAGCAGGGGGGAGGGAGTGGGATGCTGCTGCCCCCAGGAATTTGGGGAGGGGGCTGCAGACCTTGCAGATTCCTGCAGAGGGGATGGGTGGGCAGACAGACAGATCAAGCTCAGGCACTGAGGGTTCACCCAAATAAGGAGAGGGAATATTGTTTTCCTTTTGCTGAGTGAATTATTTGCAAGAAATAGGAGTCAGAGAAAGGGAAACATCTGCTAAGGCTTCGTTAGCAGAGTGTCAAGTCGACTTTTCCTTCATTATTAGCCCTTCCTGAAGCTATCAGCCTATGCCTCCCACCTCTCTCCTCTTGGGAAAGCCTATTAGCAGCTTGTGATGGTTGTTTTATTGACAGCATAAGCTGTTTGCTTAGCAAAAGGAAAGTTAAAAGAGTAATAAGCTGCTATCTGCCTTGATTTGAGTCTGCAGCCCTCATCCCGGGCTGTGTTAGCAGGGAGACAGGCTGGGAGGGAAAGGTGAATTGCTGAAACCAGAGCAGTCAGGGCAGCATCCTGATCGCTCCTGGGAGCCAGGATGAGCCTGAGATTTGCAGATTCCAGAGAAAAGGAAATGCAGACAGATCCCAGCTCTGCAAACACTGGCAGTGTGTTACTGCAGAGCTGCCTTGCCTGGGATGGAGCACAGGTCCAGGACGTTTGACAGAAGAAAGCACTACAAAATACCCCCAGGAGACCCATCCTGCTGCAGCCCAGTGCATTAGGTCTGAAAGATCCATCCCCTCATCACTTCTGATTCTCCGGGAACAAGGAAGAGCACTCATTTGTTAATGCAAATTATTTACAGTGCTTAAGCCTCCCCTCCTCGGGGGCTGGGCTCCAGAGAGAGCCCACTAAATGGCTGAGAGATGTTATCTGGCTTTAAAGGGATGAACTGTGAGAGGAGAACTCAATTTCTTTTCCCCTGGGCAGAGCCAGATCAGAGTAAGGTGGTTCAAGGCTTGGGAAATATTAAATCAAGCACCTAGTCCCGACACAGATTAAAAGGGTTTGCATTGATGGAACAGCAGTAAACTGTTGGAAAAAAAAAATAAAAGAAATAAAGCTTTCCAAGTTTGTGCAAGAAGTTGTGTCACACCAGGAGCTCTGGCTGGGATTTGGAGGAAGGAGCAGGGCTCCCACATTCCCTCCCAGCCTTGGGCATCCCCCCAGGCACGAGGGCACGGGGCCAAGTCAGTTTGAGGGCATAAACTCACTCCAGAAAGGAACTTTTTCCACTTACCTCCTTCTCCCCACAGATATTGCTGATAATAGAGCTCGAGGCTGGGCTTGAGGAAGGTCCCAGGACTCCAACCACTCCTTTGGGGAGAATCTGGCACACTGTGGGCACCAGAGAGAGGGAACAGGCATTAGACTTCATCCTCAACTGCTTACAGTACCTGCTGCACTGAGAACATCCCATTCCATCATCTCCTTCACACAACAAACCATTTACATCCCCCAAACCCCTCCATTCCCTCTGAAGCATTGTCACCCTGCCTGTGACACTCTCCCTTGTCCCCCAGCCTTTTAAAATCCCACCTAAACCCTCCCCAAAGCCCCAGCATCCTCATCTCTGACTCAGAAGTGGGGGCTCTCGCTTTTAACACCCCTTTGTGCCCCCAGGATAAAACATGGACTAAAGTATATGAAGATGCTCAACACAGCAGTGACCTGGCTTGAAAGCATCATCCAGCAGCAAACAAACTCATCTGACTTTCTCCCTTCATCCTCTGCAGAGCTCAGTGGTAATAATAAGGATTGTATTACTGGTTTTCATTTGTTTGGGGTTGTGTTTTTTTGGTTTTGTTTTTTTTTTCTTATTTGTAGTTAATCTTCTGGCTCCTTGCCACCGAGGTTAGCAGAGCAATAAAGAAACCCCTGACAAACCGAGGAAGTTAAATCTCTCCCCTCAAGCTTCCCTGGGTTAAAATGCGACCTTTTGTCCTTTCCATTCACAGCACAAATTTAGCTGAATTGCACTCCGAGGAGGAGCCCAGCTGGTGTCACCTCCCTGCTGCCATCCCCATCAACCAGAAATGCTCCTCCAGAGCAGCTGGTGCAGGCAAAGCCTGAACAGAAGGCGAGAGCCCCTCGTGCCTCAATTCCTGAGCTCTCACAGGCTCATGTGAACATGTGCTGGCCACGGCTCCTTCTGCAATGCCAGACCTGCCTCAGCATCCCCACACGCTCAGCTCCTTCCTCCTCAGCCACACAAAGCCACCTTTGCTCCACTGGAGCCTTCCTGAAGGGATAGGAGGTGGAAGAGGGGAAAGCAGGCAGCGAAACTTCTTGTCAGTTCTGGCTCCCGATGTTTTCACGTGGAAAAATTAGACAAAAGTGGGAAATGAGAGCCCACACTGTGCTTGGGGTGGAGGGTAGAGTTTGGAAAGTGAACTCCTACGGCCTGATTTCAGCTAACCAAGGTTGCCCAGAGGAGCTGTGGCTGCCCCATCCCTGGAAGTGTCCAAGGTCGGGTTGGATGGAGCCCTGAACAACCTGGGCTAGTGGAAGGTGTCCCTGCCCATGGCAGGGGTGGAACAAGAATAAGCTTTAAGGTTCCTTCCAAGCCAAACCACTCTGTGAATTCTGTGATCTCTGCCCTTAAACTTCACAAGCCTCCAAAGCCTCATGACTGGAATATGAGGCCAAAATCTGATTTAGTTTTTTTTTCACTTTGGGGAATTGGTTTTACCTCTCTTTTGAAGGCAGAACTCCACATCCTCCCCCCAGTCCCTGTCCATGCTGATTGCTCTGACTTCTCACAGAAAGTGCTGATGGAATGCAAACATCTCCTCTTGGGTTTTCCTCCCTTCTGTGCTCTCTCACCCTCCAACAGCTCAATCTCCTACAGAGCCAGTGGTATTTTTTCCGTGGCATCTTCAAAAGGAATCCAGTGCTTGCTTTTCCTCTGTGCTTAAAAATTTACAGGCACTTACACCTCTTCAAGAAGGTGCTTTTAAATAAGAGCACCAGCGATTTGAAAACCCTGCCTGCTGTCTCAGCAGCCCTCATCAACAAACCCTTCAGAGCTCTGCAGCTCATCATCCAGGAGGAAGGAGCTGTTCCAAGTCCCCTCCTTTATCCATGGAGGTCATAAAAGGCAAAATTCCCGGGGAAAATGTTTCTTGTGCACAGAGGGGAAAGTTTGGTGAGCGCTTTCCTTCCCATCCCCGGCATGGAGAACAAAAAGTGGGTTAAGTAGTCATGGCAACAGAGTTGCAACAACTGTCAGAAGAAAAAGACCTGGTTTATCACTACCGGGGGGGAAACATCCACTAAAATTAAGGAAAATGAATGGAAACAAAGTGGAGGTGCCCGAGGCAAAGGTTCTGACCACGTTTGGAAAGCTTCCCCTGTAATCCAAGCTCATTTCCTACTTCAGAACGTTTCCTGATGCTGTTTGTCCCCACAGGGGGGAAAGGCTCAGCCTTGCTGCTGCCACGGGCACTGCAGGTTCAGAAGAGGGTTGTAGAAATGTAGGTCTTGTATCAAAACCTCATCCCTGATAATCACAGAGACTGCAACCACAGACAGTGGCACGTTATAGGATATTGCCCCTCAAACCCCCTCATCCTTCCCCACCCTGCTGTGCAGGGCACATTTTTGGTTGCTGTTGGCTTCTGCTGAAGTTTGTGTCCAATTCTTCTGTTGCCCAGAATTCAGGACCTCGGGAAATACTGGGCATTGAAAAGGCACCACATTAAGAACCTCTTTAATCCTGAGATGGGATGTGGGTTCCTCTGATGGTCCCTGATCAGGTGTGTGTTCAGTGGGCATGAACAGTGATCCTCCTGCTGTAGCAGCAGGGCTGTGCTGCCACAGAAGCAAGAAAGGGCTGTGTTTAATTGTTTCCAGGAGTGTATTTAGGAATTAAGGACAAATCTGGACACTCAGGAAAACAACAAGGCATTTTTTAAAGGAAGGTGGAAACACGTGCTTGTTTTTTGGACGTGGAAAAGCAAGACAACAAGTGAGTAATTCTGACTTTGTGCATCCCCTCAGACGTGGTCAGAGAGTGCCTTTCCCCTCCTGGCATCCCAAACATTTCCCTGCTCAAAGCAGGGCTGAGAGCTCTCCAGGGAGCGCATCCACCCACGGGGCAGGACACAGCATCCCCTTCCCTGCACACAGACACCTGACCCCAGGGTTTCACACTGCATGCAAGGAAGATTCCTGGCTCTAATTGAGAATAAATGAGCAGGGAAGGTTTGCAATTACCTCAGCATTTCCATGATTGCAAAACACAGCAGAGGATGTGGAGTGGCAGGGACTGGGGTCAGGATGGGATTCTCAGGCAGGGAACACCAAGTGCATAAATAAACAACTGGTGTTCCAGAGGGTTCATCCTGCACTCCCAGACTGCTCCCTGCAGCATCCTTTGAGCTTTCTAAAAGGATCCCACAACCAGAGAAGCCCAGAGAGAAGCTGTGGCTGCCCCTGGAAGTGCTCAAGGCCAGGTTGGAACAACGGGATCTAGTGGAAGGTGTCCCTGCCCAGGTCCTTTTCCATCCCAAACCATTCTGTGATTCCATGAGAACCAAAGCAGGCTGAAAACATGAAATCCCACAAAAAATGGTGGGACAGGTAAGAGCACGTTTGAGCCAATGCCACTGAAAGGCCATAGCAGGCACTTTGAAATCCTGGTGTGAATAAATAAAAATGTAAAACCCTCCAGCTGCTGACCTGCCCCAGGATGTTTGGATTCACAACAAAGAGATGCTTAAAAGGCTGAGGAGGCCATAGGGGACAGGGGGACAAGTAGAAGATCAGTCCCTCACTGGACATCAAAAGGAATGAGGTGGTTTAGATAAAGACACGATTAAACAAGTCGTTTTGGATCCCCATGAAAGGAGCTGAAACATCAAACACAAAGAGAGAACAGGTTTTCCTTGTAACAGCAAAAAAAAGAAAAAAAAGGAAAAAAAAGCTCTGCCCATAACCTTTCACTGCAAACTCCTTGCAAACACAGATGTTTCACACAGGAGCACTCAATGTTTGCCTCCATTCATATCTACAGCTGAAATAGAGACCAGGCATGAATGTGATTAACTGATTCATATTTCACCTGCTGAAGCAATTGTGATTTTTGGGGCCCTCTTAACATGAGCCAGCCAGAAGGAAAAAAGGAAAGAAAAACAGCTCAACATTAAAATGAGAGCTAACTGCCCAAAATTCTTCCTTCTCTCGAAGCACTAATTGTACATGGAATAACACTGATGGGGTGTAATTCCTAAATCAGAGCTGTGATATTTAACAGCGCTTCAAAGGGTGTGAAATGTGAGAACAGTATTAAACAGCTGTATAACAGCTTTGCAGTCATAGGTTAAAGCATCCAAACAGTTTTTATTAATATTATGTGTCATAACAAACATCAGCGCTGTATTAAAGCATTTGAAAGGCATGAAAGCCCTTGAAATTTAAGTCAGAGGATCTGATTCTCCTCCACTACCAGTATAAATCAAGAATAACTTCAGTGACATTAATAGCAGAGCCATGCAGAATCCAGATTTTTTTTTTTCCTTTTCAGAGAAATGCTTCCAGACATTTTTCCCTCTGAAGAAAAGGCAAATAACATACTGCAAAATTCACCAAAATCAAGCCAAGCTTGCTCCAATTCCTAATTTTTACATTCTGGAAGCCCAGGTAAAGAAAACGAAGAAAATCACCCCGAGATGCAAACTGGAAATGGGAGGTGGCCTCTTCCTCACACACCCTGTTCCCACATTCTCCCCAAACACATCATTTACCCCCAGTTCAACCACAGGAACACGCTGCTCCATGCAGGAGATTTATGAGGGGGGAACAGGGATGGAACTCAAAAGGCCACTGGGTCCTTCAAAGGATGCCAAATGAGGGCAAAGCAGGATATGCCCAATCCTGGGCAGATGGGAAAGACCAGGGAAATAGAAGAGAGATGAGGGATCCAAAACAGCGGAGAATTGCTGTTTCAAACAGCCCCTGCGCTGCTGCCTGTGATGATTTTAATCTGCGCTGCCTCACGGGTGACAGGCTCTATAAATAGACACTCAGGTACTTGCTGAGACGCACTTTATTAACTGAACTCTTCTATAAATAATGCAAACACTAATTCAGGAAATGAAGGATGTGCTGATCTCGCAGGCCTGTTCACACACCTACCCAGAGTCACTGCTGAGCAGCTCTGGGCACCACAGGGGTGCTCAGTGCTCTGCAGAACACACACTAAAACTGTTTTAAAACTAAACCAGCCTGCCCCTCACCACAACACACCACCACACTTTTTGGGGACGCCCTGCAGATTGCACAGTCATGGAACACGGAACCGCTGGGAAACGAGCCTAAAACCCCCATTATTAAAAATCATTTCTCCAGCTTTTTCAAGCCAACTGGTAATAAAAAGTTATAGTCCTCCCTTGAACTCTAAAGGTCAGCTCAGAAATTATTCTGAAGGGAAGCCATCCTATTCCAAAGGATTTCTCCTCTTACAGGAAGAAACTATTATAGATCTTTTGGGCTCCTTTCACTCGGGCTCCCAAAAGGTCTGTGGGACGCTGACCATCAATTTCCCTGTTATTCATCAGCACAGAGTTGACACATTGGGTATCCAGAGGACCAACTCTAATAGAGAGCTGTTTCAATAAGGCACTTGGAAGTGACGTGGGAAATCTCCTGCTCTTTCAAAATTAGCTCTTTTTCATCCCCATGCCTTCAAACATCACTTGAAAAACTTCACTTTGTGTAAATAAATCTGCTGCCAATCTCAAGCTCTGGAAGAGCTGTCATGTTTGCTGACACACAGAGTTCCAGGGGGAATTAAAAATAACTTAATTGCACCCAACTTGCCCAGAGTCTCTTATTTGCTCACCATTAAGTGCTTTACAAAGGATCAGCACTTCCCATATCACTGCCTCTCTTTATTGACACACAGATTAAAGGAAGTAATTTGTCCCAGACCGCTGAGCTGAGTGGTGACAAAGCCTGTTGGGGACCCAGATCCTCTCAATCCAAGCTTGGGCTCGCCTCACAACACTAAGCTACGCCCTCAAATGAAAACTGGTCTGTGTGAGGATGAGAGGAGCAGAGAGGCGGGTGTTTATCCCAGTTAACCATCCCACAATTTCCCTCTGCACCGAGTGTGCCAGACACCTCCAGCGAGCTGGCAGAGAGGAGGAAGTGGGGCAGGCCCAGCTGCAGGGAGAGGCACTCACTGGTTTCTGCAGTCTCGTACTCGCTGTCCCGCAGCAGCTCGAAGATGTCCACCTCCACCTTGGCTTTCCCCGCCCGCTCGGGCGCGCGGTTGATGTGGTTCTTGGCCAGGGTGATGGAGAGCCTCTCCCCTCTGCTGCACTCCATGGGGTCATCCAGGATGGCAGCTGTGGGAGCAAAGGGGTTGGCAGTGATCAGGCGTGGCAGGGACTCCGTGCACGTCCCCATCCCCCTCGTCCCCCAGTCCCTTTGGGATCTCCACTTCTCGTGCTCCCGTCACCGCCACGCTCGGCGCATCCTCCTTCCCACACGGCCCTTCCTGCTGTTTCACCCACCTCCCGAGGTTTTGCCAGACAGGTGGGTGGTGACATCCCTGCAGCAGTGGCTGTGCTACCTGTCGGAATGCCGCAGCACAGCCACCCACGCTGTCGGCGCGCCGGTGGCACCCAGCACCCACCCCGGGGGCTCTCGGAGAGGCACATCCAGCTGTGCAGCCCTCAGGAACCCAGATGCAGGCTCTGCCTCACATCCCAACAAAGGAGGAACGTCCCCACGTAGCCTCGGATCGTTCCTGTGAAGCGTTGATCCGGCGCTGATAGCTGGAATATTTCAGGAAGCAACGTGGGCGGCCGTGGGTGGGGAGGGACAAATATTTTTCAAACAGAAAGCACTCGACTCTTGAACTCAGCTCCTGGGGCTGCCCACTCAAATCTGTGTTAGGCACAGGGAGATGGTGAGGGGTATTATTTTTGTTTTCTGGAGGGAAGGCAAGAAAGGAATCAGAGTTGAGCATTTTGTTATGAGCTGGCACAGCGTCTGCACCCCACTGGGTTTATCCCTGCTAACAGGAGGTCTCCTCCCAGAACACAGCAATTCCATCAGGTCTGGGGAAAAGCAGAGCTATTGTTTGTTGTGTACATTAGAAAAAAAAAAAAAAATAAAAAAAGGCACCAAGGCTTATCTTCCCTTCCCAAAAATCACTCCCCAGAGGGAGTGATGCCATCCAGGACTGCCCAGGGGCTGAAGCTGGATGGGGAGCAGAGCTGGAGTGTGATGAACATCCCAAAATGCTGCTCATGCTCAGGGGGCTGACACAGCAAAATTAAAGATCAGTGGTGGGGGAGTGCGTGTCAGCATTCTGAGATTCATTAAGTTTCTAATTTAAAAGCTTCAAAATCACTAAATTGGGAAATGTTGTCAAGTATATTCCTAATTGCCAGTTTTCAAACAAAATCCACTTCCACTAATGTGCAGTTAAAGGCATTTTAAATATAAAACAGTCAACACCAAAGCATTTTGAATCATTTCCTCAGGCCACCTCGACAAAAGAGTTTGCACAAGGGTTGGGGTTTTTTGTGGTGTCTGTTCAGGATGGGATTTTCCATTCTTATTTTTTGGAAACCTTGAAAAGTTCCCTACAGGTGAGGGGGAAAAAAACTGGAAAAAGAATAATAACAACATTCTTCCTTACTCAGCTCTGATCGAGTTTGAACTCTGGGACTTGTGATAGAAAACCAGCAAAACTTGCATTTTGGGACACTTGGGTTACTTTTACCAAATATTAAACCAGCCCTCAGATTGAGCAGGTAATGAGGCTGAACTAATCTTTATTTATTAAAGCTAGAGCATGAGAAAAAGTCATTTAATGTTTAAAAAAAGGTTGGTTTTAAAACTTCATGTCCTGGGACACGGTGCCAAAGCTCATCTCATAGTGGCATCATTAAGTATGAACGGAAATCTTTCTAGAAATTCCCTTTCATCTCCTCCTGTCTATTAAATATAGGAAGATGCATCAAGTAAATCTTTAATCCTGAAGACTTACAGCAAAGTCTTTGAACTTGGTTGCCCTCAAAAATCACTCCTGTCTTCCCAAGCATGATAAATGTCTCTGGTCTGGACAACTTCCCTGTGAATTATGAGGAAAACATTTCAAGAGGGAGCCAGGAGCACCTGGATCTGTGATGCCCAACTCAGGGCTGTTCAGGATTTCCCAGGGCCTGAAAGTCAAACAATTCAAGTGAAGCCACCCAAGGACTGGCACAGGCTGAGTTTTCCTCTGGAATAATTGACTGGAAGCATCTTTTCCCATGGGATGTTCCAACCTTGATAGATTAAAAACAGCAATAATTATCTTCCTGGTCAATATGCCCAGGTTTTCCTTACACTTAACACAAACCCCATAAACCTGAGAGGCACCAAACCAGAAGAGTTCACCCCCTTGGAAATGCATTGAGAGCTGCTGGGTTGTACTTAATCAATATTCCAGCAACAAGTGCCAGCGCTGAAATTCAATTCTTTCCACCCTCAGCTGGCTTCCAAGCAGGGCTAAGAGAGCAGAAAGGCTCCATCCCCCCCGTTCCCCCGAGCCATGTGGCTCCTCAGAGCCACCAGCCAGGCTCAACATATGCACTCTGACAAGCCTAATCCCACTGCAAGTCTTGCTACAACATCCCTCCTTAATTCATGACTCGAGCGAGATCTAATGAAGTGGCGTTTTTATAACAATAACAGGGAACAGATGCTACCAGGAGATTCAGACACTGCCACGACAAACTGTGTTCAGCTGACCTTTCCCTGTTAACAGGATCATTTTTTATTTACGTTTGTCTCACATGCTTTTCATACCTTCGAGATGTAAAGTCGCGCTCAGAAAACGCGATTTCCATCTTGAAGATGCAGATTTAGCAAAGCCCCGGCTTAGGAAACGTATTTCACTGTTTGTAACCTGTCCCTCCGAGTTAAAAAGATAAAAAGCTGCCTGCAATATTTCTCAGGTGTCTCATCTGACAGGTTAAGATCACACCTACAGCCTCTCTTCTGATTTATACTCTAAACACACTCACAGAATCGTTAAGGTTGGGAAAGCCCTCCAGGATCACCGAGCCCCCCCTGTGCCCCATCCCCACCTTGTCCCCCAGCCCAGAGCACTGAGTGCCACGTCCAGTCCTTCCTTGGACACCTCCAGGGGTGGGGACTCCAAACCTCCCCGGGCAGCCCCTTCCAATGCTTGAAAACCCTTTCCATGGGGAGCCCAAAGGCACTCCAGAAAAACACATCATTGCTCAGACACCAAAGTCCTGCTCAGGAACACCATTCTCAGGAGATGCCCTGGGATGTGTGGGGAGATCACTCCAGATCCCCACATCTCCCCTTCCTCCTTTCCCTCTTCCTCAGCCACCTGCATTTCCTGTGCCATTGGAGACTCTCCTCACACCATGAGCCCCAAACTGCCTCCAAACCCACGAGGCTGAAGGGTCAGGTGATTAAAAACTCGCTGCAAAATTGCCTTATTTTGCACTTTCCCCCCCTGCTGAATACGGTATGAACCCTTCAGGCTGTCAATACAGCAAAGGAGAAGGAATTTGCACAGTTCCTCATTACAGGGCTGTCAAGTGGAGCTCCAGTGGAGAAACAGGTGGGATTGTGTTTCCATTATAACCTCTGAAGTGCTGCTTAAAAATAAAATAAAAAGTCGTCAACGCGCTATTACTCTGAGAGGGAAGAGGATCTCATCAAGGAAAAGGAAGAATCTGAAAACATCAAACCTCCTTCACAAAGAGACCTGATAATGTTTGTGTGCTCGGTGCAGCACAGGGCTAGTTATTGCTCTTGGCCAACATGGGAAATCTGCATTTAAATGGAGCTTCCCTCTCCTTTCTGTTATCCAGAGGGAGTGAATTCAGGGGAGAGAGAGAGAGAGAGAAGGGGAGACATGATAAAAACAGCTCAGGGCTTTAGTTTGCACTGCTTGAAACACAATCTCTCTTTTATCTTCTTTATTAACTGCTCTGTGTACATAAAATCAGAATTACATTCTCTGAGACCTGGAGTTTTCAGGAAAAAAAAAAAAAAAGAGAATGAAGGTGATGACTTGTCCATCATGCTGGGATGCAAAGCCTCTGTATCCCAGCAAACATCATCCCTCTGGTCCAGGTGAAAGCCCTGCCCTTCCTGAGGTGTAAGGTCAGGGAATGTGATTCTGGAAACCAGCCTAAAAACACGGAGCGAAGTTGGGAAGATTATTCTCCTGTCTGTCTTTTGTTCCCATAATGTCAAGCTGGGTTTCAAAAGCAAAGTTTTCTTCTTTTTGCCCATTTTCACAGTCTCAGGTGATTGGCAGCAGCTGTGGTTTTTAGGAAGAGAGAGCACTGGGAAGCCCTGGTGGGGCCAATAAACTTGGCAAGGCCAAGAAGCAGGCAAGAACTTAATTAAGTCAGTGGAGAGTATAAACACAAGAAAAATAACCACACAAACCCCAAGTGCCACTTGCAGGCCAGCAAAAAGAATGAGGAGGGAAGAAACAATGTGTAAAGTTCTAAGCTGGGAGGGGGAAAAAAAAGGAAAAAAAAAAAAAAGGCAAAAAAACAAATGGGGAAGTCCACCAGGATTTATAGTTGTAATCATGGGTTTGAGAGATGGCAATTCATAATGCAGCTGTGGGACTTGGTGTTGGAGAGCAGGCAGAGGCACTGGTGAGGGAAAGAGCCTTCCATGGGATGGGGAAGCAGGAAAAGAAGCTGCTGCAGAGCCCCAGGTGACAGAGGATACCCACAAAGAGCATGTTCTGTACCTCCAGCACCACAAAAACCTCACCATCTGCAGAGGGGGCTGCCAAGGCTATTCCAGCCCACATCCAACACTTTGGGATTTACTGACTGACAGGGATTTCACCAGAGGAACATTCCCAGGCCTGGCACTTTGCCTCCTGCACAGGGAACCTGTTCTTGAACCTCCTTCTGATCACAGAATCGTTAAGAATGGAAAAGACCTCTAAGATCATCAGGTCCAACCATCACCCAGCACCACCAGCCTGTTCACCACTAAACCACGTCCCCAAGTGCCACATCCACAGGTTTTTTGGACACTTCCAGGGATGGTGCCTCCACCACTGCCCTGGCCAGCCTGGCCTGATGACCCTTTCCATGAAGAAATTCTTCTCATCTAGGCCTCCCCTGGTGCAGCTTGAAGTTGTTTCCTCACACCCTGTTGAGGACTGGACAGCATGTTACAGGATTCAAGGAATTCACCTCCCTAAAGTCACTGAATTCCCATTTATAAGTGGGGTTTTAGAGATGATTTCCCTCTTAACCCTTTCCTGGTATCCAAGCACTTACAGAGCACTTGCTCTTCTTTCAGCATCTCATTATTTCAAGGATGTCACAGCTCT